CCCCGCCCCTGCGCGGAGCCGCCCGTTGCGGCGCCCAGCTCCGGACGCCGTTGGGCTGCCTGGCCGCGCTCCCCGCCGCCGCCACTCCGCCATGTGGCAGCGGGCCGCTTGGATGCTGCTCTGCGCCGTGGGCGCCGGTGAGTTCTCGCCGCCCTCCTTTCTCCTTCCCTTCCTCCCGACCCCTGTGCCTTGGGGCCTCGGCAAGCCCGGCCCGAGACACCTTTCCGTCCACCCCCGCCTCCAGCAGCCTCCCGGTGCGGGCGCCCCGTCAGCCCCTCGGGGTGTGAGGGAAGGAGGGAGGGCAGAGCCGCCCCCCCCTCCCCCCGGCCCCCGCAGCCGTTGGGCGGGCGGGAAAAGGAGGGGCGGGTGTCGCCGAGGCGGGAGGGTGTGTGTGTGTGTGTGTGGCGAGGGGGTGGTGGTGGTGGATCGGGACGTGAGGCGGCCGGTCCCGCGGGGCCAACGCACGCCGCCTCCGCTCGTCGTGGAGGGTCCCATCGCCTCTCGCCCGGAGCTCCCTCCCGGGGTGGCTGACGACAGCGGGCGTGTGTGGGGCTGCGGTCTGCCGAGTCGCCATCCGCTGCCGGGAGGGGGGGAAGGATAGCTCGGGGGTTGTTCTTCCATCCCTCCGCCTCCTCCCCGGGACTGGGGGTGGGTGGCTTCTGGCGGCGACCGGGTGGGAGGAGGGGGACGCCGTGGACCGGCGCTGAGCTCTGCGGCTTCCCGTGCCTCGTAGCCTTAGGGCAGCTGAAGGATGTCCCTCCGGTCCGACCGGCCGTCTGCTGTGGGGCTGGCGGCCTTTCTTGGTCTTGAAAGAAGTTTGGGCGTCATGGGTGTGCAGATGGCATCTCGCAATCTAACTTATTATTTTTTCCTCTGCCTCAAGAAGAAACTCGGGGGGGTAAGGGGGGAGGGAGAGTTAAAAAAATTATACCGCTTTTCACCGAGGTGCAAATGCTCCATGAGCGGCACATCCCGGCCAGCCTGTTGAAAGCCAGTGTCTCAATTCAGGTCTGGGTGCCCCAGTTTAAGCCAGCAGAAGGCTGGCTTAAATGCTGAGCCCCCAGGTATGTTTTGTAGCCGGTGAGAAACGCAGGTGTCCACCAGGTGCAGCTACCAAGCTCAGCCAATGCTGACATAACGTGTAATATTCCCGAATTTGCGCTGCATATGCCGTATTTGAAGGAATCTTTCTGTGGCAGCTTCACAACTGCATATTCTTTAGAAGCAGGTCTACCCCCCAAACCCCTCAGTGTAAGGCTCTAAAATTGTTGCCTTGATGTGACACCTCTAAGCTGCTAATCCACGAGAAGGTTTGAGGCTGGGAGCCTGCCTAGCAGTCCTCTGCCTGGAGGGTTTGGGAACTATTGCTGAAGGGTTCTGATGACTTCCTCGTCCCACAAGAAGAATGTCGGGAGTCGAGAGTGTCATCTGTCCTAAGCAGTGAGGTTCCCTTTAGTGGGGTAGCAGCCACACAACCCCTTCTACTGAAAGCAGTCAGATTTGCAGAGGCCCAAACCTTCAAATATTTGTGTGTGTGCTTCTGCTGGTGCCTGTCTGCAGCCTGCTCCTTATTTCCCCAGCGCTCTGCTGGTGGAGCAGCTCACATGAGTACTTCTGAACTGGCTGCGGGCAAGGTATGCCAGCTCTTTTAGGCTCCATCACAGCAAACCCATGGAATCAGGAATTTACGGCTCCCTGTCATTCTGTGGTAATATTAGTGATCAATTTGTTTTAATTCCTTCAAGGTATATTTTAATTTACTTTGGTAAATATTTTGAAGTATAGTTGCTTCCTTTAGTTGAACTAATCACCTTTCTCAGTGATGGGACCAGTGGAGAATAAATTCTTCCTAGAGAGTGTAAATGTGCTATCTCTAAAGGAAAAAAAACAACCCAACCCAGAACCCAACAACTCCACACTCTGAAACCTTTTATCATGCAGTAGTGTTAAAATAAAACAGATGTGAAATTTATTTCAGGAAGAACACTGAAGCACTACAGCTTTTAATTGCTTGCAATTTTTTATTTTTTTTTCTGTCGTGCATAGTTTGGGTGCAGTTTCCCTTTGTTCTGCTTTTGTTACTTTTATTTTTTGAAGTACAGTTTAAAAAATGTAACACAATGAGTAAACCAGGGGATAATTCTGTCTTCATAGTTAAGTGCTGTCATGCATAATGCATTTTATCAGTTTATTATAAGCTTTTGATACTCAGTAATAATCCAGTGACTTGTGTGAGAATATGAAATCAATGTTTCAAGGATCAGTGCTTTCTAAATTTGATCTGAGATGGTTGCTTTGAAAAAAAAAGAGCTACTGCAAATAGCAACGCAACTTTTATTGATTTTTTTTTTTTTTTTTAAATTTTTTGGGGGGGTGTGTGTTTCTCTTTCCTTTCCCATAATTGAATTCAGTCATTGAATACATATCTAAATTCTGAGCTGGTTTAGACATGTAAATACCAGTAGTTCCTCTGAAGTCACTGGAGCTACTCCACTTTTTAAGTCTGTATGCTTACAGTATTAGGGGTTGTGGTCCTGTTTTACAGTATGTATCTTTTCCCATATTTGGTTTTGTCAGGTGAATATAGTCAAGCATTTTGAATTGTTAATACCACAGAGACTCTGGGGCACAATGACTTTTAGGACAGCTATTAAACTAAGTTAGAATTTCACACAAATGAAGAAAAATATAGAAAATAGAGGGTTCAAAGCCTTCATACTTTGCAGTCAAATTAGTTTAATTAACCTCTTTCTTCTGGTTCCTGGTGTAATTTTAGTACTGATGTTATAATTTCTGGTATTTTCAAGAACTGATTAATGGGTCTTCATTTCAGATAAAAATCTTGGCATAGGATTTAGGTCTTTCCTGAAGCAGTGTTCAGTCAGTACTACTGCTTTAAAACTGTGCTGCAGCGTGGGAGAGAAATGATAGAACTAGCAGTGATAACAGTTCTGTGTGATGGTGGTTTTTCGTTACCTGCATTGAATTTCATTGTTATTAGCATTAATCACAATGATTTATAATACAGGACACTTGTTCTTAAAAAATTTCCATTTTCAATTCTATTTTGTATACACTAAGTAAGTAATAATCTTACTTAATATATGGTATTGTGTGTGCACCTCCTCCTCCATCAGAAAGGAAAAGAGAGAATTTGCAAGAAGCAATCTAAACCTATGGGTGTTTGGCTCCACCTTCAGAGATACGAAGGAACGAATGACAAACTTCTGTTGACTAAGCTGCCCTGCCTGCCTTTTCTCAGAAGTGTACAAGTAGAATTTTTTCCCTGTGTCCTTAACAAACTGTAAAGGATGTTTGTGTGGAGCTGATCCCTGGACCTCCACTTTTAGATGCCTGTGTGATCAGCAGCAAAAATTTGAACATCAGTGGGACAACCTGTGGTTAATGTTATGTGTGTGCTTTGCAGAAGCCAGGCCTTAATGCAGTATTTCTGCATATGGCATTTTAGAGGAAAAGTCCAAGTAAGTGGCAGCCCAAAGTTTTATTACTTTTTTTATTATTATGTATTTATTATAGGTTATGGTATCTATACATTAAATGGATGTGAGAGTAGCTGTCTGCGTAGAGGTGCTGTGTTAGAATTACAATAATGCTTTTTTTTTTTCTTCTTTTATTAGTCCCGTAAAGCATGGTTCTCTTTTTGTGGTTTTGCAGGGGAGCGTTTTGTTTTCCCAAGTGACATGTTGTAATTCTTTTTTCTTTCTTCTCTTGTACATTAAGAAATAATTCTGAATGTGTCAATTTTCATTTTTCTTTATAGGTTCTGCCCAGTTGTTGTTTAATGCGACGGATGTTGTTAAAAAAACTGACTGTAACAAAACTGTCATTTTACCTTGCTGTGTGACTAATCTAAATCAGAACAATATAGGTATCATGTTTGTAAAGTGGAAAAGACAAGGACAACTTATTTTCTCTTTCGATGGACGCACAAGGAAGTATTTCAGACATCCATCGATGCCATCGGCTGTTTTATTATCTGAGAAGGATTTAACCAAGGGTGTCGCCTCTCTTGAGCTTAAGAATGCAGAAGCAGAAGTCGGAAATTACAGTTGTGAAGTAACAGAATCAAACCGAGAAGGAGAAACAAGATTTGAACTTAAAAAATACGCAGGTAAGTTGTCTGCCACTGTTTTAGAACCTGTTGGGAGAGAAAACAAGCAAAATCTTATGGGAAAGAGAAAAACAACGAATACGGCAATGTATTACAAAAAACATAGCACCCAAGCCTTCTAACTGGAATGCTAATGTGAGTTATTTTGGATTAAGTTATAGGGGAGTGCTTCTGTGGGAAAGATCTGAACACATTTTTTCACTCTATAATAATGTCTAAAGATGACTTGTCTAATATAGTAAAATATGTTTTCCAACATCTTTTAGATTATATAGTTGGTGATATTTTCACCATGCTTGTGTTACTGCGTTACATACTGAAAGATACTCCTACTATCTTTGTAATGCTGAGATGTATACATCTATCATAGTGGCTGCAGAGATCTTTTCTTTGAAGAATTGCATCTTGCAGTGTTTAGCTATGCTGAAAAATTACAGATAGAACTAATAAAAATTCTGTATAAGAGCTGTAAAACTCAATCTGAAGGTATGTGGTTTTCCAGTGATGTTCAAAATGCTACGACTAGATGGTAACTTGTTACAGTTGTCTAACATTAAACATCGTTTTTAGAAAACGATGTTTAAAATAATGGTGACTAAGTGATGACTTTCTCATTTAGTGAACCATTTTACTTTACCTTGTCAGATGCAGCCTGTGTGCTCTGGTGCCTTAGCTATTGAATAATGGGATCTGCTGTACATGTGCGGTCTGTCTAGTGTTCTGCAGAACTGACAGTTTCACTGAACGTATGTGCGTATTGTTTCTCTGTTCCACACAGGAGAGTTGCTTCTTGCTTCTGGAAAGTTTCTCAGAAGCACCAAATATTTCACACGTGCGTAGCACGTGGAATCCTACCTGTGCACTCTAGAATTGTCCTAGGACGTTTTTGGTACTAGTTTTTGAATTTGTCATTAAAATATTTATGAAGCTCAGACACATGTTACTTGTGTTCTGCTGCAAACATCAGTGTAATTCACAGTTGGGTCTAATTATTGAGTTAACCATATACACTGCAAAACAAATGTGGTCCTGAAATGGATTGAGAAGGGTGCAGCCACTGAAAGAGTGAGGATGCTGCAAAATCACTTGGTTCTTAGAACACTGCAAAAACAGGGGCAGAGGTGTATAGGCAGTTTCCTTCCTTCTCTTGTAGCTTTTTCATTACTCAGCCTTTTGGGGCTGTTTTTGCCATTCACTGTTAGGCTCTACCAAGAGGAAACAAGGCTTGAGGATGTAGTACAATCAAGTCCTATTTGCAAGTTTTATTGTTTTGTTTTTACTTTCTCTGTGTTTAGAATTTTGAAAGCTGTATAAAGACTACAAAGCAGGAAACTGATGTAATTTTTCTAATTTCATTTTCTAGTTGACAGTTGCGGAGAGGAAAGTACCCCCCCAACACCAGAGGAAAAATGTGGTTGGTGAAGAATATATAGTTGTGAGGTCACGTTAGTTTGAGAGTATATGCCAGAAAACGTAAAACTTAGTGTTATATTTGAGTATTTAGCTGAAAGTAAAACAGTCGCTTGTTCTCTCTTTATATTCTTCTACATAAATTTTTGTTACTTGCTCCTCGGTGTTCTAGAGAGACTCTTGAAATAATAAGCTAATAGAAGAAAGTGTAGCAAGTGAGTTTTGAAAAGGGTTAGTGAATAATGGAAATCTGGTGCCAGTCTTCACTCTGTCATTTCTGAGCAATCAATTCATGCTGTTACTATTAATATGTTCAAATTGGTACTTACACAGAGATAGCCTTAGAAGAGCCAGCTATTCTCCATCTCACTTCACAGAATTCCTGGATTCACCTATGAAGTGGGTAACAGAGTGAGCAGGACTTAGATGCTAGTACTCTTGCCTTTGGGCACACTCTTTCCTATCAGTTAGAGGAGAGTGGTCGTAAAGTTTCCTTTTTTTCTCTTCTTTTCCTCTTTTTCCCTTTTCCTCTTCTCTCCCCTCTCTTGCTCCTGTTTTCTTTTCTTTGCCTCCTCACCTCTTCTCTTCCTCTTTCCTTCACATGTTTCCTTTCCCTTTTTCTTCTTCTTTTCTCTCTCCTTCCTCCCCTGCATGTCTGGAAGTCTCTCTTCTTAGTTTGGAACTGCCTTATATTGGCTCTCAAAATAATACTTTTCACGGGAGTTTACCTTATTGCTATGAACTAACAGAGTAAGTGAAATGTATTACCAAGAAAATGTGTTCAGCTTTTTCTCTTACTCGCATGCTGCATGTACCAGCAGTATTGCAAGCATTTCCATACAGTAAGTGCTTTTAGACTCAGAGACTGGACTGTACGTGGTTCCATGTTGCATGCTGAAGTCCTAGCAGACACTAGGCTTCATGGCTGCTTTTTTTCTATTCGTAATACCTGGTAGTGTCATCTAGAAATGCTACAGAGGAAGTGAAGCTGCTTTTCAGTCTCTGCTTGCAGATACTTTCAATTTGTTAATAATACTTAGTTACCATTGCTGGGATTTGCCTGTAAGATTTGGCTAATCTAGAGAATGGCAACTGTGCATTCAAATTACTGTTCAATATTAGTTGCTTTTTTGAAAATGCAGATGAAGCAAAAAGCCTTCCTTTAAACAAGTCATTAAATTAGGCTTCCTTTACTGCGAAGGAATTTGGCAGATATTCCTTTAGTATGTTTTGTGATTGCCTTGTATTTATGGTCTAACCACTGTTTCTTCTTTTGTGACTTCTGGGAGTGGAGGTGGGGGAAGAGGGAAATTTGTGAATATAAAACTGTCCTCAAGGTATTTATTTAGCATTGAAAGTTGTAATGTATTGATACTTCATTCCATGTTTCTGGAGCTGAAGGTACAGCTTTTAAATATGGAGGGTAAGTGCAAGGAGTATGCATCTAAATGAAGACTAGAAGTTTCTTTGGAAGGAAATGTGCAGGCAGAGGAATGGTGGCAAGTATAATGTAAGAAATTGAGACTTTGGACTCCACTGAGTGAGTCTAAATGAAGTTATGAGCAGAGATGCAAGAACCAACTGCATTTTCTAGTTCAGTGGAGATGTTTTCAGAATTTTATGTTGGAAGATGGCTTACACGGTCTTACAGCACGAGTGACTGAACAGCCTAAGGTATCCAAGATGCAGGGGAAGAAAGGCTAAATGGATGATGGTGGCAAGACCTAAAGGAAAGTGTGTGATTTCTAGAAATAACAAAGCAGTGTTTCCTTCTAATTTAGGTTAGCTCCTGTATTCCTTACCACACATCTGGATTGCTTCAGGAATTACAGCAGCTGGACATAGAATAGCTGGGAAACCATCAAACTGGACTTCTCATATCCTGCCCAGCTTCCCTGCTTAGCCTAAATACACAGGTTTTTTCTGATCTACTGTGCTGTTTGTAGTTCAGCAAGCAAACTAGGTTGTGCTGCCATACAATAGCATAAACATCCTTTGCTGCACTGGAAGTTAAGACCTGCAGTCTGGAAAATGTTAGGGTAACTAGAAATACTGAAAAACTAGGTTGTCACACACAAGATGAGAGTGAAAAATACATAGGTAGAAGTCATAGCTTTCTTAGCTTATTATAACTCTTAATGCTAACTATTACGTTGAGTGTTGAGCAATCTAAAGCATAGCCTAAAATGAGTAATAAATAAAAAGCTAATAACCTCAGTTCGTGTTTTCTTCCTACCATTTTTCTTTGCTAATTCTCTAGGATCGTGGTTTCTTCTGCTGGAAAGGGCTCTCATCATATCGTTGCTGTTCATAATTATTATTTTGTGGTTGGTTCAGCTAAGTCTGATCGGTAAGTATGTGGTCTTTAATTCTTTGCAATTATTGATTTGTCCTAAAATCACTTGCAGAAAATCATCCCTGTAAGATTGAAAGACAGTGCTTAAATCTAAAAGATGTCTGGTACAATTGGTCTAGATAATACTCAGAAGGGTTGTACGTCTACTTTGTCACGTGACGTGGTGTTTGGTTTGCTCTGGAATCTTCTGATCATCCACACTGTGTTACTTATGTTCATTTCAGGGCTTGCTTTTGGCACCTATCAGCTGACATCATGAGAGAGTTAACTTGTATATGGTTCTCAAGGTAGTTCCTAATAAGCACTGTTATTTACAGGCTTGATCAATAAGAGCACACTAAGATACACTGTTTTGCACTACGTAGACTTCCATTTCCTGTTTCAGTAAGCCTTGCACTCTTTGAGGAGACCTAACATAAATTTTTGGCATCAAGCTATGAAATCACTAGTCTAGCGTAGCATTTACAGAGTTTGGGACCTTTGAACTGAAACCGAACATGAGCTTATCAAAAAGATGTGTGTTTTGGGTTTTCAGCATGCTACGTGGTGCTGCAGTCATGCAGTGTGGACACAGGCACTGGGGTCTAGCCCTAAGCAGTGGAGGCTGGGCCAGTTGGCTCGATTTGCTTGGAGGCCAGGGGTTTCTTCCCAGGGTTAAGATTTTTAGCAGATATATGTCTTTGGAGACAAAGGTATGACCTACAGCCTAAAGAGTCTGTATTTAGAGCTAGTCTGCCATGTGGTGATGTTTCTGCTGTTGGTACTGTGGCAAACAATGAGCTTTTTTGCACAGGTGTAATTTTTGTGGGGTATAATTGATAATTTCTACTGTCATGGGTTAGAATAAGGAGGCTTTTTTTTCACTGTTGGTTCACCGTGACACTGAATCATTAGAAACAGAAACATGTTTCATTTTTGGGTCGTAAAATCAGTATTAGAGAAAGATGGTGTTGTCTTCCTAATGTAAAATTGTTCACTAGTCTTTTAGCACTGGCTGAGTTATAATTTAACACTGACATCAATGATTTTGTTAAATGTTTTCAGAGGCAGTATGTTCACTTGTGTAAGACATCCTTAGCTGTTCTGTATACACCAGTGTCCAACATGTGTGCAATATAGAGTGTGCTTTATGTCCTAGTCTTTCAGATGGTTCCCTGTGGTGCAGTTTGTTACATCAGTCTTTGAGGTTTTTTCAGCCTTTTTCAATTTGTAGACATCTAAAAAATAAAAATAAAAATCTGCATAGAGTTGAGTCCATAAGAAATGGAAAGAACTTGTTCTCAGAGTGATTGATAGTAATGACATACGTACTCAGCCATCTATATATAATTTTCTTTATTACTCTTTATAAACCTCTGAAAGTGGTATGTGACTCTTCAAAGGTTCATCCATGGTCAGAGGTTGAGAACTAATATATATTTTTAAAGTTATTTTATTTCCATAGTGTTAAATTCCTGATTTTCATTATTGTTCAGGTTTAGGAGTCTCTGCTATGTTCAGGAATTGTTGTTGCCTTCCATTCATAGCAGAACTTTAACATTCTTAGCATTTTATCAGAGTAGTTTTATCAAAGTAATATTTGTCCTGAAATAAGCATTGATAGAAGCACTGTCATTTTACAAGAGTAAAGACCTCACTTTATTGTGAGGTCTGTGGCCTCTTGGGGGGAAAAATAATCCTGCTACCTCTAATTTAAAAATGTGGTTGTACTTACTGTTTGGTTTTGTTGTTTGTTTTTTGTTTGTTTGTGTTTTTTTTTTTCCTTTAGTTTCCACTGGTTTAGTTAACCTGTGAATCCAGCAATGCTACAGTATACCTTTAAATAGTTTGTTAAACCGAGCTTGGTTTTTCTGTGTAACACTTTGGAATATATGTTTTCTTGGGTTTTGTGTTTTATGACGGGGTTGATTTTTTGGGGGGGTTTTTTTTGTTGGTTGGTTGGTTTGTGGTGGGTTTTTTTGGGTTTTTTTTGCATACAGGATTGGCTTTGAAGATTTAAGTATAGCATATCCATTACTTATTTTTGCCTTTGTGTCTTGCTTTTCTTATTTTAGCATATTTATAATATGAAAAAAATGTGAATTTCCAGTACAGACATGCAGGAAGTTTTTAGTATTACTACTATTCCAAATAAGTTTTTGGTTTAAATGGCAGTAGTACTTCAGAGTATGACTGGGGTCTTGTTGTGTTAGACAATGTGACTACAATGAAAGACTGAGTTTTAATTCACAGAGAGTATGCTGTAACCCTCCCATAGATAAGATACTATTAAAGATTTTTTCATATGTACCCTCTAGAATGTTTACTGATATTTTTTTTGTGTTTTCGCAATGCATGTAAGTGGGATGTTAATTCTGCATGTGCTCCTTGTTTTTCTTTTGAAGTTACTCACTGTATTTGTTCTCTGTGATTACCAATTTCAGCATGTACCAAGATGGTTGATATTTTAATTTTCAAGCTTGGAGCAAGAGCTGCCTTACTTTGTGTCTTAGTGTTAGCAATGTATAAGGCAGAAACAAACACGGCTTATTAAATTGTTGTATTTGTACTGTTGCTCCTTTTCCAAAGACTACTAAAAGTGCTGCTGTTTTGAAACCCTCCACTAGAATAAACCATTTCTGAGATGGCAGCTATTTAGCAGTGCAGTTTTACTGAAAATTAGTCGTGTCTGTGGCATCTGAATATGTAGGTTATCCCATATCTACTCATCCTTAAAGCATTCTGGTGAGATGGGAACGTGTCCTTGTTCGGTTGGGCACAAAGGTGATACAGTGTCACAGGGAAGAGAATTAAACCTAGGATTTTGAAATCCCCATCTGACACTCACATGAGTAACAAAGTCGCTGTAACATTATTTAAATGTCAGTAGTGCATCTACTTGAATTAACCTTTACCGCATCCCAAAGTTATTTTGATAACATCACCTGAATTGCATAGAGGATAGAATTAAGAATTTGACTAAAACACCAGTGCCAGGTGTAATTAATCTGAGTTAGTCTTATTAACCATATCAAACAAGGAGAACAAATTATATGTTGGTAGTATTTATAGTCTAATTTTTTAGGATTTTGTTTATTTGTTTATGACAACAGTCCTAATCATAAAATCTGTGTATTTTTGTGAGACAAGCTGTATGTCTGATTGTTTTCTTCTCTGTGTCTCTTGATTTTTTCTTTAAGCATTTAAATATGAAATTGAAACTCGGAAGAAAATGGGCATTATTATAGCAGGAGTCTTTGCCACAGGTGCTGCCATTGTAGGCACAGTTCTTTTTGTCCAAGGTAAGTGTATTAAAATTACCTGCTAGTTTAAGGGAATAAGAGCACAAATTAATCTCTTCAATGCAGTAATATGGAAGTTAGTACCACCTATTAATTGCCATCTACTAATTTTGAAATGGAAACAAAAATATCATAGACCACAACAAAAATAGCATTATGGTTGTCAGCCCCTCAGATGATCATAGGGAGATAGAGACTCCAAAGTTATTTCTATTTTCTGTCCTGTTAGGGAGATGTTAGGGGCTAGGGAGTAATTTCTCGTGTTCAATGGGGGTTTTTTTCTGGACCCTAAAAACTTGATGTTACTAACGATTTACTTTTGTGGCTTTGTGCTTTACACCAGTCAAGGATTTCTATTTTACTAATTTCCATGCAAATGTTTGCAGATGGCTATACAGTACATCATCAGGCTGGTCTTGGCCTAATTGTAGTCCCTGCTATGGTTTTCATACCGCTTCAATACTTCATGTTTGGAATAGGTGAGTATTTATTCGCTAGCTCAAGAACATACTGACTGAAAAACTGAGCCCCTTTTCCAATCTAGGTACTTTTTTTTTTTTTTTTTAATAAATAGGTGCTACGATAGCATGCTGGGTTCCTGACCTTCTTAGTATCTCAAAAAAAAAAAAAAGTTTAATCTGTGTTTATTTGGCTAAGTTGCTTCAGGGAAAAAGTATGTTGCCTGCTTGAAAAACGAGATGTAGGGTAGAACATCTGAGCGATTCCTGCTCTTCCTTCCTAGGTCTTGGGACTGGGATGAATAGCTAACTCTCAGAATGTGTGATTTTCATTTTTTTTTTCTACTTACTGTTTATTTATAATTTTATTTATATATAAGTACATTTTTTTTGTGTATATACTGAGTGACTTGCATAGCTGTTATGTTATCATGCTGGCTGGCTGAGCCTGTAATTCAGGAGAATCTGATTTCTAGTTTTATGTGAATGATCTACATTTTGTGTCTTTTTAGTTAACCTTCAAAATAATTACAATTTTGTTTCTGTCTTTCCCAGTTTTCGATAATCTACCACAAGCAACATTCGTTCTGGTGGGTTTGCAAACTCTTGGTTATGTAATTGCTGTGGCTGGTTTTGTACTGTGTGTCCCAGGTAAGCAATTTAACTTCTGTCTTTTTACTTTTGTCTCTACCTGATGTTTGTTTGTTTATAACACTAAAACACTGTGAAAATGGCTTCACTGCACTGAATGTTGGCCAGTAACTTCTGTAAATGTACTTTAGGACTGCTGTGGTAATGCTCTTTTATCTGGCGAAAGAAACATAGCCCAAAGGCAGGATTAGATACTGCAGTTTCAGTAGTATGACTACATCCAGCGTGACTCCATTCTGTGAGCAGTTGCTAAAAAAAAATAAAAATAATAGAAACCGAATTGTTTTAATATTCCAACATTTAGTGCCCTGAAGAGTCACCTAAAACCAGTGCTGGCCTGTTACTCTTTCTGAGGCCTAGGGTATTTAGAAACTAAACTAGAGTCATAATAACTTTCCCATGCTCAATGAATAAATCAGAAATTCTTTGTTAATCTCTGCGCGTACACGTCTGATAACTGAGTTGCTGGGAAACAAATATAATTGCAGATAATGATAAGAAGGCAGATGCAGTGACAGTTAACTTGGAAGCATTCTTGTTCTGTTGTAAGTCTGGTTGTGGCTGGCATCCCGTTCCAGCGCTGGAAGCCGTCGGTCGGTGTTGTAAAGCAACGCCAACTGAGCACCGCACACAGCGCTGCCCCTTCTCACTGCCTCTCACCCTCCCTCTGTACCCTGCCTGCCTTCCCCTCTGCCCACCTGAAATCCCAGAGCAGAGAAAAGGGTGAATTTAGGACTAGGCATCCTTGGCAGTGTGTTTAGCAGTAGAATGCATAGTGTAGTAGCTAAGCTGGATAAATCTGTAAATGCCCCTGTATCATTAAAGAACCTATACAGAAAAGAAAGATGCAGAAGTAGCTCAGGGATAGCTTTAAAAGAGTAATTAATCATGTCTGTTTTTATCAGACTTATTTATTTTAGTATTCAGTTATGTCGAAAATAAAAGTTCTGTGCTTTTACTTGTGTCAGATGATACAGTTTCTTTTATTGTGTTTTTAACAGTGTGTCCTCCGATACATGCGTCTGTTATCATTGCTGGCTTAGCTATTCTGGCAATTGCATATTTGCTTAGTCTGAGTTACGTGTTTATTATGGGTAAGTAGCACCTACTATTCTGCGTTATTTTTTTATTTTTAGCTCTTCAATATTCAGAAGAGCATTTTTCTCTATTGTACTTTCCAGAGGTAGACACAGCTTACTTGAACATAAGGTGTGATTTCGCAATTACAGAGTTAAAAAAATTACTGAAAAGTTGTCTGTATATATTGGCTTTGTTTCATAGAACTTGTGTGGGGAATCTTGAGTAAAGAAATTTACAGCTTATCATAATAAACTGTCTTGAGATCAACACAGCCAGGTTTCCTAAGTAAGGGTGTTTCAACTGTAGGATGGTTGTTACTGCTTAAGATCTGCATTTACACAGATGGCTAGCTGAAGCTTAGAATGCAGAGAGCAAAAGGATTTCAAGGATTCTATAGAGTGGGTTGTGGGATGGTGCAGACAAAATCTTATCAAAATACGAATTTAAAGAAGCAAAGTCTTCCTGGTGATTTCCACTGGTTAGAGGTAGTTAAAATAAGAGCAATTTGAATGCACACCTTTCATTTCAGTGAATCCTGTTTTTTCTTATGCTTAATTTTAAAAGCCAGGAGCAAGGAATAGTAATACTTTGTTTCAGAAACTGGTCTGTTCACCAAATCTCAAAAAGATGAGAGAGATTTCAAGGTACAAAGGCCAGTCAGGCCTGCTAAATAAACAAAAAGCATAGCAATGCTGTGTGATTGGGATGCTGGCACACCACAGCATAACATTATGTGGACTTTGCAGCTTGGATTTGAGAGCAGAGTGACTTTACTTGTTTCAAGCTGTGCACAAAAGCTCTTCAAAGAGTTTCTTAGTTTAAATGCGGAACCATGCAATTGAGGAGATACTGCTTCCAGACTCAAGCTGATGTGTACACAGTGAATTGAACTATGCAGTCTTGCAGGTTTAGAACGTGTACACTATGTGTGGGCATGGTCAGACATAATAGACCCTGAGACAGGGAGGATTTTCATTGAAGAAAAAATTAAGGCAGAATGCTTAATATTTGATGACTGAGATGAAGATAAGTCAAAAATGTGACAGAGGTGCAGCAAGCCTTTTAACAACAAGAAAAATAATGTTTATTGACTTTGGACTACTAATATATATGATATGTGTCTGCATAAATATTGCATTTGTAGTTTGATTATGCTGGCTGAAGAAGTCCAATGTGACTGTCGGGGTAGATTCCAGCACACCAAAAATAAGCACAAAGAATAGAGTGTAAGATAATTCGTTTTTAGAGCTGAATGCATGAGTGAGACAATTCACAAACTGTACATTATGAGATTATTCAGTTCCTAAACAGAGGAGTGCCTAGGGGCTTTAAGAATTTGCAGATCATTGTATTAAGTAGTTTTAGGTAGATGAAGCTTCAATTTTGTGTGTTGCTACTCTGTTCTAAGTTACATCAGTAGATATTTTTATTCAGTTGATCATGACATGCTCACTTTTTTGTAATTGTTTTAGGTTCCAGAATGAAAGATCATCCTCGTCCAGGGGTAAGCTTAAAATTAATAAATTTGGGGTGACTAGATGGCTCAGGGGATTGTAGTGAGATACTGAACCTTTCTTCAGTAGTTCCAATTCAGACCAGGTTGGTAGCAAGCAAAAGTTCTGGCTGTGTAACAGATGTCTAGTGTTGAGTGAGTTGGTGGTCTTCATTGTCCCTATTGAGTGTGTCTATAGTACTGTAATTGCCACCCTTACCTGATGGCTACTCCGACTGTTGTGCCCAAATGGAGTTTCAAGGGCTGTCACAAAAAGGTGGTTGGATGTGAAGGGAACTTTGGTGTTCTTTTACAATGCACTCTTTCATGTGAATTTATAAAGACCTTTTGCTCACCTTAAGGAAAATGCTTTTTCATTAAGGTGAGTGCAGGATACCATTGAATATTTTTTTTTATTTAGGTGGCTTAAAACAAAGACTTAGTTTTGGGGTTTTTTTCCTATGGTCTTTTACACCAGAACACTTTAATATTCTCTTGCATTCCTAGCTATATGGATGCTATAGCCTTGATCTTTTTTTCTTTTCTTATTTTACTGTAGTGCCCCTTAATTTGATGAGACCATCTGAAAGCAGAGTGTCTGTCTTTAGGTCACACAGAACAAATGGAAAAGCACTTTGTTTTTTTAAAGAACGTTTTTCAGTCGGTTTTGTTTGAATTCTAGAGTAATCATTCCTAAAAAAGTAATTTTCATAGACTTATGCAGTGCTTTCTAGTGATACGTGAATATGAACTGCCTGATTTCTGGAGTTTTGTGGAAGCAAATAAAGAGGCACAACCGTAAAATACCAGTCACATTTCCTTGTAGCAGGGGAGCATGGCAAATACTGTCGTCCCATTTCTTGTCTGGCAGCCATCATTTGAAACGCTTTTTCAGATCTTCAGTCCACAGCCTGAGACCCAGCTGTTGAAGAAAGATGGTTTTTCACAGTGGGAGAGGAGAGCTGTAGGAGAGTATGACTGTAGTTAGCAGAACAGATTTATTTTTTTTTTCTCTTCCCCGACCTTCCCTTCTTCCCTCCCCATTTGCTTTTTTCTCATCCATTTTCATTTTAAGGAGTAATATTTCAGAGGATTGGCCTCTTAACTTATGGAAGGAATAGAAGTGCATGGAGTTTAAAAAAATATTTTAAAAAGGAGGATGTTTTCGGGGTTCATTATTCTATAAAAATGATGCTACAGATACGTTTCTTTCAAAACACAATCTTGCCCTTATCTGATGCTCATGTTTACTTGCAGAATGGAAGCAAACAGGGCAAGAGGAGATTTTTTTTATTTTAAACTTACTTTTTGGTTGTATATAACCTTTATTACATACTTTTTTCATTTTTTAAATTTTATTACACTTATTATATGCTAAATAACATCCTTTGTGGAACTCCATTCTCTTTCTGAGCTGTTCTCTTCACAAGGTGGTTTTGCACTGCACCTAAGATTTGACAAAGAAATAGCCACAATTATGTAGTAGTGAACACCATGTTACTCTCTCATTTGGAGACAGGAATGAAATCAAAAGAAATGTTTAGGTCATTGGAAATCTCAGCCACTAAAAATTCAAGTTTTGCAGCTGCAGTTAGTGGACGGTCAGATAAAGACTAATTCAGGTGACAATAATTAGTGCCCATGAACTTATCAAAGTTATGGAAAGACCTGGTGGAAAATTAGGTGTATTAATATGTTGGTTGTTTCCATCAAGGGCAATGTGAAGAAATTTTGAAAGTACACTTTGATTCTGTGTAATCTAAAGACTATGGAAAAATTCTTATCAGTGAAGTGCTTAATTTTGATGCTGGGGCACATTTACAAAATGATGCTTGATATTTTCTTGAGTCTGAGGGTGGAAATATGTGTATTTTGAAACCTGTCATCTTAATCAATTACTGATTCTTATTTCTTTTAACATTTCTGTAGATTGCTTGTGTTGTTTCTGATGATTGTCTACCAGACTAAATGCACAACTGTGGTGGTTTTTTTTTTGAGGGGATTATACTTGATTGCTTGCCTACTTTTTTGTTTTGTTTTGTTTTTTTCAGTCATGCTACTTTATTACTAACCATTGATCAAATCACAGAAATATGATTTAGGTTTTAGAGCTTAAAAGTAGTATCTGCATGCCTTTTGCTGCCACCTAGAGGTATTTCACCTGACGAAGAGTGCAGTGGGGGAAAAATAATCTGGAGAATGCAGTTATTGATTGTTCTAATTTTTTTCAGAACTCTAGTAATTAATTTTATTAATGCTCAGCTTTCTTCGTTTTGTAGAATCACTACTTACTGTATATGTCAATTAGAGTAATTTAACTGTGGCGAGCCAAAAGTAAACATGAAGGCTTTTTATACATATATATATTTTTAAATGTTTTGCAGAAAGCTGTAGAAGAACCACTAAATGGTAGGTGATACTCAAGGCTTATCTTCTAATGAAGGGATTAATTATGAAAAAAGGTCAAAAATAATATTAATTCTCAACACAACAGCACTGAGATGGCAGATCCGTGTGTCAGCTTCTGTGGCTCTGTGAGTCAGTAAGAGTTTGGTCTCTCAATGAAATTACGCCTGCAGCTTCAGACCTCCTGTTCTGCGTTATTGTGCTTTGCTAGCCAGTGGCATTATTTAACTGTTTTAGGACAAATCTAATAGCTGAGGATATTATAGCTACCATCTTCACTTTGCAAAAAGTCCAACTTTTAAGAGGAAAAGAAGGGACAAGTCTTGAAAGTTGATGTTAGTTCCTCTTCGTGGACATTTATCTTGGTGAAATACTTAGGATTATAGCAAAATCTATCCTTGTCACTCTGTTCTTTTGGTATTTCTTTGGGTTGGACAAACTCTGCAATGGTGTTGGCTATTCTCATACCACTTAAGATGGGGGAAATTTGAAAGGGATGACTGAAATTTTTATTTTTGCTATTCTGTTCACTAACTGGCATGCCGAGTAGTAGCAAGTAACCCACTTTTTAGAATTAATCTGAATATTAATTGTGAAGCATTTCTTGCTGTTTGGCTCATTACTAATCCATTTGCTTGGCTTTTAAAGATGCAAAAGGAGTGATGTTAGAATGATGGTAAGTCCAAATGTATCTCCAGATATTTATTTTAATGAAGACATGTAATTGGGGATTTTGATGTTTAGAGTTACTGATGCTAATATGGTGAAACTTGGAGGACAGATTTCAGTGCAGGTGCTGTTCTTATTCAAACTATATTTCATTGAAAAGAAAGCATGCATGTTTTCTGTATCATACATAGGGAAAAAATGTGTATTTCTAAACAGTGATGAGGATGATGAGGATGAGTCAGGGAGAGAGAACTATTAAATAGTATGTTTCTGATCAAATGCGGGAAGTCAAATAGTTTGTATGCTGCTTTTATGCTTATATAGTATTTAAGATGCATGGGCTGTTTCCTTGTGGGGGGTTGTTGTATTTGTTTTTTGATTGTTGTTTTTGTTGTTGTTGTTAATATAGCTGAGCATTCTCTATGTATTTAACTGGAAGTTCACAGGAAAGTGTTTTTTTTGGATTGTTTGTATTCCAGTCAGATTTCACTCCATTTATTATTTTTCAGGGTCAGATAGTAGTGTTTAAAAACAAACAGAATTGAAACACATCTGCATAAGATTTAAGAACTGTTTAAATAACTTCAACTTACTTTTGACAAACCTGAATTTTGAACTTCAAGATCTAAAGGTGCACTGTGGCTTCTGCCTGTTGGTTAGGCATGATGATTAAAGATCTACCAAATGTGGTAAACAAAGATGTATGTTGCAGTGTCCTGGCCTAACTTAAGATTTCTTCTGATTTGAAATGTCAGTGCTGGAATTAGTCCTTTTCGATTTTATAATGGCCTGTAAGATTGCAACACTGACTACATGTAAATGGACTCCTCCTAATTTATAGTAAGCCATGAAATGAGAGAGACCATATTAACTTGGCCCAGAATTCCCAAACTGGTACCTAAAGTGGATAGCCAAGTTTGTGAAGATTCTTGGTTCCTGCAGCTCATATCCATCAGAAGAGTAACAGAATTTGCATGGGCATATTGCAGAGAGCTTAAAATCTAAGCTGTCACTGAAGATCTTTTATTAATTCTTTTCTACTCAGAAGCTGTCAGTAATTTCCATGGGAATAGTTTAAAAGAGCACCTGTTGATGCTTTTGGTACTGCTGTTACTTCCTGGAAACTGAGCAAGCTTGTCACAAAGTACCACTAGACCCTTGACCTGATACTTCTGCATCAAATTGCAACATTTTAATAGTCAGGATAAAGGAGTAAGATCACTCTAAATCTTTTAATTTACTTGAAATATTTTTATATCATGTCACTTCTAGAAGACATGAATTGACAATGTGGCAGTAAATGAGGTAGTAGTTAGCCCTAGTTGGAAAAAGGTACGTCAGCTGATTTTAAAAATAGGTTTCCTTACAAACACCATGAGCTGCTAGGTTTATGTTACTTACGACTACTACCTGATTCATCCAGGCATGCCATAGGATTATTTTCTAAAACAATAGGAATACAAGCACTTCTGCAGTACAAAAGACAACTGCATTGGTGTCTTATAAATGCATTGGTAAAATGTATACCTGTATACAGGTCCTTCTTCAGAAGTGACTATTGCTTGTTCTTCATAGCAGTGGTTTGAGGTCAGGAAACAAATAGGTATTTGCCGGTCAATTGCATTCAAAACTGACCGGAAGGGAGATAAGGATGGGATTGGTACAGTTACCACAGTCTGCTGCTTATTCTTGGAGAACAAGGTAGAGTTTTGCTTGGAGATCCAGTTTTAAATAAATTGACTCTTCTTGGATCTCATTTAGGCTTACAAAAACCTGGCTTCTCTTTTAGTGCTGTTGTAGAGCTTCCAAAAGCACAGGAATTGCTAATTATCCACTTCTTTTTGACTTGTGGGGTCAAAAAATAACAGGAGGTTTTACAGATCGAAGGGCTCTGTCATGCAGGCTGCAACCTTTGGAGCTCTACCTGCTTTCTACCTTAACCTTCCCTTGAAAGTTCACAAGCACACCCCAGAGGGGTGAGTCAGACGCTGAAGCACACGAGTTTACAAAATGGGATGTGAAAGTAAATCAGCGTTAGGACTAAAGACAGGACAGGTCAGATAACTAAGGCTGGGAGCCACTACAGCTTATTCCAGTTCAGGAGCAGGAGCTCCAGGACAGTGTCACTTTGCTGTTATGGTGAGACTGAAACATCTCTTGCTGTTAGTTCCGCTCTTTTCCATTATTTGAGTGCTAAGCATGCTTTTGAAGTTGCAATATTTTTTTAAGCTGTGACTTGAGTAGGCAGCACAAAATGTTGCCGCTCATCCCAAACTATCTTTTTGTTGTTCTTTTTTTTTTAATTCCCAGAACTGAGGAGCAGTGTGATACGTGAAAAGTACACCGTTGTTGATACACCGTGGCCTTGAAGATGCACTACTCAAAGAGAAGAAATTCAGGAAACTAGTTGTTTTGCATGTGTGGCAAAAGTGCTTTTGATATAAATGATGTAATTTTATAGTCACAGCAGTTGTAGCGAGGAACGTGTGTGTTTGCCCACATGTGATCTTTATTTTCTTGTTATGGTATAAATGGTATGGTTGAGGGTGAGAATATAAAAAGCACTGTTTGCCCACTACAGGGTGTCCCTGCAGTAATCCTTAGTGGTATTATTTTCAAAAACTATCATTAGTCACTGCTTTGATAACGGGCATGCTCAGCCCAAAGATCGCAATACCATTTAGACTATTGTTTTCTTTATTTGTGTGCATGGACAAGGTCTGGTCATGTGTCTATGATACAAGCAGGAAGTAGAGATTTTACAAATACATCTTTTCTGAGTTTCAGCAAAACTGTTCTAAAAAAATAAATAAAATGCTTATACACAAAGTTGCGTAAGTACACAGTTTACTCCCAATTCTCAAGTTATCAACCATGTTATCCTAATTCCACAAAACAGCAGTAGCCCTCTCCATGGGCAGTAGTCATGTCTGCTCTGGTGGCCAATAATTTAGTCCAGTGAGAGAGCTCTCCGTGCCTCTTCCGTATTCTTTGATGAGAAACTGCTCAGCTGTTTGAGCCTAATTCAGCACTGGAATTATGGAGCACAGCAGCTAGTAATTTTCATGCTGAATGTGGTTCTTGTGTGTGTTCATGTCGTGCAGTGTTTTGTACTGGAAGCAATTTCAGAATTTCTTAACTCAGTGAATTTGTAAAACTCGTTGATGCTTCATAAAAATAGGAGCTGTCCTATTTAGTGTATTTTTTACAGAGTTTTAAAATCTGTTCTCTTGAATGGAAAAAGGAGCTATTTCATTTCTGACACAAGTTTGTGCTGCTGCCATTACAACACGAATACATGAAATAGAAGATAATCAGGAGGAGCTGATGAGAAGTGAGGAGGCTCAGTTTCTGTATATATGTAAGTGGTACGGGTAAAAATCAATTTTCTAGGACTTGCACATTCCATGAGATTTTACCACATTTTACAACTGTTTTGAAAATTGTTCCAATGTAGTTGGCTTCTTTTGGACTTTATATATACTTTGTAGAAATCTTCACACTGCCTCCTGTTAGTACTAAGGTAATATATTTCAAAGGCACACGTTATTTTCTCCTAACCATTTAAAACTTGGTTTGGAAAGCTCTTGCCAAACAGTAATGTAATAAAATTTGTGGTTTTTTCAAGATTCTGAGTAATTAGGCACATCTCAGAGTTGGATGACGCACACTAAGGTTCATGTCCATGTTGCAGAGATTCAAGTCTCTGTATGTTGAGCTCCAAGTCTCGATGCAGACACCTTCCATAAAGAATTCAACAAAATAAAATTGAGGTATCTGATTCTACGATATTTGCTCTCACAAACTGCCCTCTTGCTAGAGCTGCAGGACTGAACTACTTAGAGGAACCCATGGTCCAGCCCTCACTAAAATCAGTGGAGCTGGCCACAGAGAAGAGGGTTATTCATATGATAATACATTTAGGAAGCATGTATGGTTTGCACTTACGTTCATACCTTCAAGTTTGTCAGTAGGAGTATTCATAATAAGATTTTGAGCTCCTATATATAAATATTTTGATACAGGTTTTTCCATAATCACAGCAATCTCTACCTAAAGACGGGAGATTACTCTCCATTAACAATTCAGCGTAAAAATTTAACTGGTTAAATGCTGTGCAGAGCTCCCTCTTTATAACTAGTGATTCCCTCTGGCAAGTGGAAAGTTAAGCAGTTGAGGAATAAAACCAAACCAACTGGAATTCTGTTGAGGTATTTTGCCTTACAAAAACCATTATGTATAATAGCTTTATGTTAACTTCTGTAAAGCAAACTGCATTTGTGTCACTGTGGGGTGAGGCCAA